GGTTGAAGGAGTCAAGGGGGGCAAGATATCCAAGACTTTCTGAGAGCAACAGGCGAGTGCCGACTGCGCTTACGCTGGTGTGCGTGATGCAAACATATTGGACAGGCTCAAGTTGGTGGGCTGCTCCGGGCGCTAGCATAAGCGTAGATAGGTCTATCCATGCCACGATACTGGTAGTAAGCATGGGGCACGATGAGTTCACAACTTGCAGATGGCTCGGCCAACTGCCATGTCGTTGTCAGTTGGGGAAGAAGCAAATGTCAGTCCAGTTGACATGCGCCCAAAAGGTGAGACAATGCAAGTCCCCCTCGATGGCCTCGACGAGGACACTAGACAAGGGCTGGAGCTCAACTTGAACAACGCGAGCAAGGATCCATCCCATGTCAACCGGTGCTTGAAGATCCACTCCCGAGCTTCGCTGGCCAAACCGATTGGCCATCCCGGCGTCTACCACCGGGAGCCCCCCGGTCAGATCCCCGTCAGATCCCGGCGGCCACCCTGAAACAGCCAAGTCCTGAGACCCATCCCCTTTTTCTTAATTATCACCAGATTCGCCCTGCAGCCTCCGCGGCCTCAATTAACACTCTACGCGCTACTTCCCGAAAGAGGCTCAACGTCCTGGCCGTCGTGGCGGGACCTCAGGGGTGACCACGCTTCGAGCCTTCGAGCCCACGCATCATGGATAGAAATCGTTCTGTGGAAAAAACCACTTTTGCCCCCTGTGCAAGGCATGGCACAGACGTTTCCCTGGCCTGGTGGACTTCCTTGAGTTGCAGTTCCCTCCCCTTTTCCACCAATCCTCTCTGCTTCATCCCAGAAGAGAATCCTACCCTGTCACTGCCAAAGACTTTGCCGCCGCCAGCTGCTGACCTGAGCGCTTTCAGGCTGGGTCTTTTGACTCCTCATTATCTCTGTTCTTGCAGCTTGCAGGCTGGGCAACAGGCACAAACATTATGATTACAGGCCTGGTCACCCTTTCTAGACCGCTCGGCAGGCTGGACCGGCCAGGCTGGTGGCTTCAGTTCCTTGAATGTCCCTCTTCTGGGCTCTTCTTGCGGGACACTGGCAGGCGGCAGGCTTGATCAAGAGATTGAACGGGGCTTCAGCGGCTCTCGAGAATCAAGGAGCCAACTGATAACTCTGGAGTCTGACCTGGTTTGGCCCTGCGTCTCTTCTCTTTTCTTCTTTTTTCCCGTCAATTTTCGGACATGAGCACGGGAAGAGGACCCAACAAACGATGGAACAGGAGGGGCCATGTGGCGGCGCGCGCCCGAACTCGGGGGCAACAACCGTTCTGAGCATCTCTGCTGGGCAAGCCATGCCAGTTCAAGTTCGAGTTGAAATTACATTTGATCTCTTCCTGGCCCAGCTGCCCAGCGGACAGCGGCATTGTTGTAGAACTACACGAGTGCAACGAAGGATTTCCGTCGATGCGAGATTGATTTAAAGTAGGGAGATGCCCGCTGCCCCCCCTCACACACAGTATAAGCAGTATGCGTGATATGCTTTTGCCAATAGACTTCCCGTGCCCACTGCCCACCTCAATATGCTTTTGGCGGCTTTGGCCCGAGGCTAATGACGACGTCGATGAGCAGGCCACTGTATCCATCAATGCAGAACATGAGCATTGGCGTTATTACCCCTCTTGGACTCCAGTCTCCGTCATCCACCAGCTTGACCACTTTGACGGATAACTCTCTTTCTTGCTGACTGACGCCGCGAGAGCGAGAAGATCTGCTCGGGGCCCCGTGCCGTGATCCGTCTGCCAACCGCCCGGGTCTCACGGCTACGGCCTTGTCATCCCATCCCTATCATCGTCCCCATTTCAATCTATCTCAACCCCTGTCAGCGCGCCAGCGCTTCACACCGCACATCAACCATCACGCACGTCTTTTTTTTTTCCCTTTTCTTGCTTTCTTACTCCACAGGGGGCCAGCCAGGCCGCTGGGAGCCCCGTTGTAACTCGATGTTCAAGGCCCAATGTTCCACACAGAGAACCAGCAAGGGTTTCCCACCCCCTTTTCAGCCGATCGACGAGCGCGTACCTGCGTACCGCACACAAACATCGCCGATCTTATGGAAATCCCTTCTTCTTCGTTGTTCTTTCCAGCAGTGAATAACCCAGTCACCGAGTCCACTCTGCACAAAATCTCATGATGGATGCGACGCCAGGATGCCTTCGTGGAGAGTCGATCGAATCTACGAACACCAAGCTTGGCTATGTTGGTTCCATCGTGGTCTTCTTTTCTCGGCCGAGTTGATCACTGCCTTATGGAGTTGATTCAGAACTGAGAATGTTCTGGCGACGGTTTCTCCAAATAGCGACCACCTGACTCGGCCGGTCCAAGTACACAGTCAAGGTTGTCGCTGCACTCAACATGATGCACGCGCAGAAAAGCCCCTGGCGGCGCAGCGAAAAGAAGCGCTCGCTGCTCAGCCAGGTGCCATCACTTCAAACACGGCAGTTCATCCTTTCATCACACGCCGCTCGGTAAGCGCGCCGCAGCTGCGCTCATAGCTTTGGGTCAGTAAAACATTGAAAGCCATCTTATCTTTACTATAACTACAGGTTCAATGCCCTGTCAAAGCCTACGGGTATCAAAACTAAACTAAACGAAACAGGTCCCTGGCGTGCCTGGGCATCTTACAAAGCGTGAGCTCATCCATCAATCTTCTACCTCCGTCTCCTCAAGCCTTGGCTGTTGTAGAGATTAGTGATTGTTACGTCTTCGCTGTCTCTGTCGCTCAAAGATGGCTAAGCCAGATATGACAGCCATAATTGCCCACCGTTCGCCCAGCTCACCTGTCAACCCACTGCCCATGAACGCAAACTTGGCCAACTTGGTCATGCTCATGCCAGCATCCGTCCAGACTGCTACCACTTCCTTTCCATCACCTCCCCTGAATGCACCTGGCCCGGCATTCTGGGGCACTGATTGAGCCAGCCTGATGAGCTTCCAGCCCCTGCTTCGGCCATCCAGCGCAGCGATCGCTTCGCCAGAGCTTGTCCTCCATTCAAAGTGCTCTAGTCTTTCACAGTTTGGTCCCACACCTATGGCGAAAAGGTAGCTCCATGACGGGAAGTCGCTCTTTGATTCTAGTTCGACAATAGGCCCGCCGCCTGGTGTACGAATCGGCGCAGGTGGCAGCGTTATGCTCATTCTGCTGCTGAAGCTGTGGTACTCTACTGACGCGAGCGGCGGGAACCTGTCCGACGGACCAGAGTGCAGCACAATGGGCGGCGAGCTGCTCAACCCGCTGTGTATCGACATGCCATAGAACGGCTGGCTCTGGTGCTCGCCGAGGAGCATGGTCCTGCTGAAGCTCTGCGAGTAGACATTGAAGGCTGGCGGGAACTGGCGGGCTACCACCTGCGGCCCCGACGACGGTCCTGCTGGTCCTGAGCTTGGTCCTGGACTTCTCCGGTGTGGTGGTGCTGGTCCCGGACTCGTGCGGGGTTTCTCTTCGTACGGCGGCGGAGCTTCGTTTGCAGGGGCATTGGGAAGTGGCTTCATGTTGGAGTGTTGGGGAGTGGATGCCATTTTCTTGTGACACAACGGTTGATTATGATGCACCGGTGGTTTTCGTGTTTGTGATGGTTCAGTTGCAGTAATTCTTACCACTGGAAGTCTCTGCTTTTTTAAGACTTTGCTCAGTACCTTGGGTATTGCCGTATTGTGTCTGCCTGGTGATCCTATTTCACAGCCACACGCGTGACGGCCATCCAGTGGCACAGCCTGACAGTGAAGGCAGGTACGCATAATTGTACCTGCCCTCACTGTCGGATATTCGTAGGTAGGTTCAACCTGGGCAAATGCGCACCTGTGAGAGTCACGTGCGACCCAAGTTCACCTGGCCTTCGAGTTTTCCGGGGGGAAGGAGCAGGTGAGTGCTGGAGAGGCAGGTACGCGCCCATATGCACCTACTACTTCTACCTACCTCGCAGGCGGGAAAACAGACATTCCACGGCAGTGGCTCCTGCGGCTGGGCAGCCCCTTCTTTCCAACTTAGGCCCAGTATGGGTGACAAATAGGTACCTGCTCACACGCTGCTCTCACTTTCACGCTGTGCCCAGCAAAGGTGATCTACACCACCACAGCCACAGCCGCAGGCGCAGGCACTACGTCAGCGCGGTTCAGAGGCTTTGGCGATCCAAATTATCTGCCAACGTGTCGTCGGCTACTCCGAAGTTGCAACTAGTAGGTTCCTGCTGAGTTCATGTTGACGACATCATACCAAGGCTTTCGGTTTCTAAATCAACAGCGACGGCACCAGTTTTCAAGCAGTATAATCAACTTGCAGATACTTATTTTCCATCGGCTCACTTATCGACTGACCAGCAAATCTTCCTTCAACTCAGTCATTCAGTCACTGTTATCGGTATCACGGTAGTCTACCTTCAGTTCAATCACTTCATCAACTTCGGTTCACGTAGAATCAACTTGTCAAAGGAGCATCGTTGACAACTACAAACTTGCTTCTCAGTCGTCTGCTGATCACCTAGATGTGTATGCGATCAACTCGTGATTGTCATGGATCTCCTAATATGATATAGGATGGAACTTTCCTTCTCTCACTGAGCTTATTTCGTTGATCATGATGGAGCTTGACATCCAACCGCACAAAATAGCAGAGTGAATCTGCCAAGGCCTCATTTGTGACGAATGCGGATTATCAAGTCAGTCCACCTATTAACCGTTACGTGCCAAGTCGGCATAAGAGGGTTCCCACAGCTTATGAGGGCTAGAGCAAAGTGATTCAAGTGAAGCTTATGCTTCTCAACTCAAGATTGGCAATTCTTCGAAGACTTACATGAAAGTTATATGCACCTAGACTTTCGGTTCTCAATTCCTCTCAACTGCCCGTGACCACCTTTGGGGCAATGATCAGCTCTAGATGCGACCTTATTGCAGATTGTTAACCACGTTTGCTGAGGTCAATGTCTTCCACTCCCGATACAATGTACCTGAGTTCGTGGTAAATATGAGTATACCACATCCATGTCCGAACAACCTTGGTCGACTGCATGGATGTTCAACTATAAGCTTGAGCAGTTGACGCTGCTTGTCTCACCCAGATGCACATGGCCTTCACCGACTCCAAGTGCCATTAAACCTAAGTCTCTCGCGACTGATGTTTACTATCGCCAACGTAATGGGCGACTAGTCCCATCAGACATGCATTTTTTGACTGATTCGGTGAACGACCAATCGGGCAAATGGACGGATTATGGCCAAAACAATTTAGTGCTCACCGCTGTTTCTCACGATTTTGACTCTGTGGTGGTCTCCCTTGAGGAGCCTCACAACTTCAAGGATTTAGCCATTGGGGGTTTCGACGTGCCCAACAAACCAGAGGACAATGTCGACGTTTATCCATTCGCAAACGGCGATATGGGTGAGAATGATACGGCGGCATTCGATCCGGGTTTCTTCTTCCATCATTGTTACATAGATTATATGTTCTGGAAGTGGCACAACTCTCACAACAAGTCCAAACAGCTGAATATCATACCTGGCCTCGACGGCACAGAGGGACTGAGTCTCGACACTCCCCTGGTTCCATTCAGCCGAGAGGACATTACCCCCGGAGATACGCGGCCGATGACTTCCAATGTAGGTTTCACCCACGTTACCATCGAAGGCAACAAGATCCAGGCCGATATTGGAACAGCACAGTGAAGCATTGAGTTGAGGTAAAGAGCTGGTATCAAGCTGTCGAGACTCGTCCTCGGCTTCACAAGGCCCGGCTAGTGATTCTATGGAGTGGTGTGAACTAGAGCGCAACCTTTTCGTTCACGAAGGATAGGAGATTTCACCAGTCTCAGGGATTGGCGACAAAAGTTTTTATTCATGCCTCATAGTTCTTATCATGTCCAAGCTCTCTAAATGTTGCTTCAATTTGATTCTCTCAACTGACGGGGTCCTTTCTTGACCGACCTTGATCTGAACCAGCGGATATCCGTATACTTTTGAAGATGCACGAGGCTTGTTTTGCACGGTCTTTCGTCGATAGTACGATGACCCTTGATGTCTGAGAAGCGCAAATACCTACAACTAGGTAGATGGCCATACGAAAAGCCAGGGCGGAGTTCCTAGTCTGTGGTGGTTGTTTACGAAAGGGGCAGTACGCGCAACTTCGTGTAGTACGGTGCACCGGCTAGGCTTAGTGACCTCTTGCACCTTGCGTACTTTTGCAGTAGGCAATACATCTTGATAGTTGAAGAAGTTGTAGTCTCAGGTATAACTTGAAGCTATGATGATGTGTAAAGGCTGATAGCGAGCGATGAGCTGCCGTAAACAAGAACTCCTCCCTTGTCGTCCCAGTGCGCCTAATCCTTCGTACCAAAAATGAGACCCTACAAACTTCAAACATAATTGGGTGATACTCCAAAATGCTGCCGTCCAAGCAAGCCAGTCCAACGCGTACGTCCCTCGCTAGATGTCGAAAGTGACTCGCTTAACACCTTTAGATGTCGTCAATGGATAGCACGTCGACAACATGGACAACAACTTACTAGAAGCCCTTCTCCTCTTGGAAGCGTAGAAAGCGTAAGTCGAATCATCCTCCCCTTCCAAATCACCATCTTTGGACTTGCCTGACGTCAGGATCTGTATAAGCCGATTAGGACCGCTGCTATCCGAAGGTGTGGTGGTGGTGGTGGTGCTGCTGCTGTACCACTTGACCACGCCCAAGAGTGAAACACTTACAAAGTCGAACCTCGATGCGGCAAAGACCAGAGCCATGAGCACAATGACAGCCAAAAGCGAACCCCCAAGCCCATTCATGCCGGAAAACATTCTCAACATTTCGACTTAGGTCTAAGCCAAAGTTTCTCCTCTGTTTGCTGTTCCTGATAAGATATCAACCCCTTGGGAGCTAGTCGTCGATCGGATCGCGGGCGTAGACGGTAAGCGCTGTTGTTGTTTCACGTTCCCTTGGTGTTCAATCACCCCACGCGCGGCAATCAGCGGATGAAGAATGTCGGGGTAGGACTAGGTGTATAAAGGGGAAAGTAGAAAGATCAAAAGAGGAAGAGTGTCCAGAGACTTTCCGGAAGGCAGCGTAAGGAATAAAAAGTTCCGAATGCAAACATGAATCGCGGGGTTCAAGCAAGGTCAGGCATGTCCCAGAAGGAATCTCATCGTCAGCATAGAAGGATAAGGCTCGCGAACTCCGGAGTTGGTTGGCAGGTAGAGTTGGGTCTGACATGCGACCTTATAATAAGAATCTCCAACGGTCGCGGCCGGCCCTACGGTCATCCCAGCAACTCCGAACGTATGGCGAGTATGATGGGACGTAGATCGTTTACGGCCGAGAAAGAGCTCTCCGAAGTAGGTCCCCCTACTTTAACTAACGAAGGGCTGGAAAATGGTTCAATTCTGCTCTATTCGTGCACTTCTGCCTCAGCTGCCCAGCACGACACGTGGTAGTAACAGGAGAATCGGGCATCCAAGGTCCAACAGCAGTCCAGCCAGCCTGATCGTCTGTGCCAGGGCGACCTCTGATTGGTAAAGATTCGAGAAAGAGTATGCCAGAAAGTTGGGGTGGTTGATTCAATTCGCCAAAGATGGTTCTCCGTTTCGAGACGGCTGGAACGGGGGCCACGGGGGGAAGAGGGTGGGTGGCTTGTGGTAGGGCGGAACCCAGACCGTGGAGTGGAGGTCCGATTCAGTCGGCCGGAGTTCTGTGAGAGAGAGGAAACGAACATGTAACCCCCATCCTGTCTCTGCCGCAAAGGCTGACTGCGGCCCACCCCTGTCCGTGTTTGCTGTTGGTATCTTGAGTGTCTGATTAGTCCAGGAATGCGGGGAATAGGAAAAAGCAGCTCGTCAGCAAGGAGACAAGGGATCGGAGCTTCAATGTAAGAGGGTGGCCGAGACACCGAGACTGGTGAATTGATGAAGAGGAAGCGAGAGACATGGAGAGAAGATGCAGCGAGCAGAGCAGGGAATGGTTGTGGCGCCCAATGATTGGGCGTGTGGGTGACCTGTTGGCTGCAGCAGGGCAAAGAAATGTGTCCAATGAGTGCTCCAACAACAGAGCAAAAGTGCACCTCGAATTATATTGCCGAGTCGGGGGGATCTGGAATCATGATAACGGGACTCGGAGCTGAGTGGTTGGTTTGCATCAGTCAGAGGAGCGAATTGGAAGGATGGGAAAGGATGGTTGAGCTGAGATCGAGTTCATCTCGAAATCTGATGCTGCCCACACCCTACTGCCAGCCATCTCAACGGATGGGGTAGGAGAGTAAGAGTGCAGGACAGACAACAGTCTTGTTCATTATTAGGTATTGTAATATCATCATCATGAGGCGTCCACCGATGCCAGCCGACCGTGAATGCGACTGTGACTGCGACTGCGACAGTTTCTGCATCGGGTGCTTTCTAAGTTCAGTCTCACTGTATCCCGATGTTCCCTCCGCACTCTCGTTGCGTTTCTTCCCTTCCAAGACCGAACCCAAAGCAAAACTCCTCATTTTTCGTCATCCGAAGACACGGAGCATTAAAATCCGCGCCAAGAGATGCGGAACTCTTGCCCAAAGCGCCTGTGCACAAATACCCATTTTTGGCCGTTTGAACTTTTGTACCGGTCGACGCCTGCTGATCCCATTGAATGAGATGACAATGAGAGCGAGAGAGTGAAGGTGAGAGTGAGAATGACGAATGAGAGTGAAAGTCAGGATTCGGGGAATGAAGATCTCCAAAAGTCCGACCGCCGTTTCTCTCACTCTCACACATTTTCATCTCTCGCCCCCAGCGAACATAAAAAGACAGAAATAACGACTAGCAACCAACGCCGAATACCGACCCCGCGACCGTAGGGCAGGATGGAATTCCGATTGCCCCCAAAAAGGGTCCAGAAAGGTCCAAATATGGGGAAGAAGCGTGAAAAAGCGAGGCGAAAAGAGGACTAAGTCACCCTTTCCGAAATTCCGGAGGCGTCGACTAGCAATCGTCCGCCCGCAACGCCTGGACCTCGAGAGCCTCGTCCACAATGAGAGCCCAGGTGTCGCGGATGTAGTCGCGCATCTCCAAGAGGACCATGACCGCATACGCTGCCGTCATCAAAGCGAGACAGTAAAACGCCTGAACCAAGAAACATCAGTCTCGACACTCTTGATGTTTTGTATAACGCCCACAATCTTGGAGAATGATGCAAAGATGAAGAATAACCAAAACCATCAATCATCCAAGCAGATGGAGGGATAGAGGAAAACGATGTCAAAAACGAAAAGAGTGTGAGATGCAACTTACCGACCAGACCCCCAAATCACCCCATCGCACCAGAGCCATCTCGCCCAGCCCGTAGAGACCCTCCACGCCGGACGCGTTCCCGGGGAATGCGTCGCCGCCCAGTCTCGTGCTGTAAACCACCCGCAGCTCCTCAACGCCGTGCAGCGCGTCCGGGACGCTCTGGAACCCATAGTAGAGAAGACCGAGCGCGAGCGGCATTGGCAGTGCATGATATGCCCAGCACAGCGTGTCGAAAATGCCCATGACGGTGAACTTGACGAGCTCCCTCGGCGGCCTCGTGAGATCCAGGATGCCTCGCAGAAAGAAGTCGAATATCACGGCCAGCAGTGTTGTCAGGGGATGCAAAGCCTGTGGCTGCGGTTGTCGTGGTTGTTGCCGGGCCGCCGTCAGCGACCGCCTTTTGGCTTGCTTAGTCTGGCCCCGGGAGGAAAGGTGAGGAGAGGCGAGGGCGGAGAGCCTTGGTACCGGGTTGTATAGGTAATGTTGTTGTTGGTGTTGGTAGTCGATATAGTTGTGCGGCCCTGGGAGGCCGGCACTCATCATGGTCTTTTGTGTAAACGTTTCCGTTGACATGCTGAATAGCGGATGCCCCTCCCCTTTAACATACACTTCGTGATAAAGTGCGAAGAAGGGTTGGATGGGACGAGGGGTGCCAAGATAAAAGGATGTAAATCCAAAAGATAGGAGAACCTTGGCTCGGTTTCTTGGGAAACGGTTCCGAGAGGAAACTTAATAGTAGGCAGGTGAGGGGCCCAAGATATAAGTCGGTGAGTGATGGGTGGTGAGCGGTGGTGAGCTGCGAGCAAGCGATAGGACCCGAGCTAAGGATAGGTAGTGAGGTGTGCTCGAGCTTTATGACAAGCAGGGCAGAATGAGCAGGGAAAGGAAAAGGCAAAGCTTCCTAGGTCCTGGGATAGCGTTTGCTTGCCTTAGCGCAGGTTGCTAGCGACGCACCGTTCGCGACGACACAGTTTTTATGCAGGTTGTTCCAAGGCGGGGGGGAAGAAGAGCTCTGAGAGGTGTGATTGAGGTGTGGTTGAGGTGATGGTCGCAGCGGTCGGTGTAAGTCGTCGTTTATCTGTCGAGGAGGAGGAAGATGAATGGACAAGGTAGTGGTGTGCCCAAGGTAGCTCAAAGGTATGTATGAATATGTGTTTATGCCACCGAAATCCAAGGTCGAATCCCACGTCTTTGCTTTTGGTGAGAGAAGTCGCTTTCGGTCGCCGACCGAAACCATCAGCAAAAGATGTGCAGCAACGCAAGTAAGCAAACTCGCATGAGGTACGCGCTGAGGGCTGCTCGATAAGCTGAATGTCCGAATCCGACGATGGTTGGGGAAAAAGGCAAGGGGAAGAACAAAAACAAACAATACCTTTCCTTACACAGTCAAGAAAGTTCAAGGAAAATTGAGAAAGCAGCAAGCGGCGGCACGTAGAGAAATATGTCCTCGTCTTGAAGAAGTAGATTACCCTCTCTCTCATCAATTCTTTCTTTCGCCTCTCCGGCTCAATGGACATTCCCCTTAGGTCCCTTGTATACAGCTCTGTGCCTCTGTGTGTGTGCATCCAATTCCTCCTTATCTAAAGTACCTTACCAGCCAAGACAGTCGGCTGGAATGTTGTCTCTCAACACCACGCCAGAATCGAAAGGGGGGAAGGATGGAAAAGTCCCCTGTGCATCGTCTGCGACCCTGCAGACGGACAGTAGTATGCAAGGCGAGGAGCTATGGTATCTACTATGTACCGCACATGCGTACATGCCATTATGCATGCATAGCAGGAAAATAAAACCTGGGGGAGAAAGAAAAAAAAAGACGTAACCAAAATCCCAAGCCAGAAATTGTGCTGTCGCAATGAAACACAAGACATACGCCTTTTCCACCTCATGTTTCCCCATGTTCCAATTATAAATCCCCGTCGTTCGTTTCTGCGTTCAAGGAAAAGCCACGGTGGGAGCCTTTGGAGCCCCGGACTGGGGAGAGTTTCTCTCCGGCTGGGTCCCGGACCGCTCCGGTTGGCTGCTTCGCGCCTCGCCTCCCCTACGGCTCTGCCACCTTGATGCTAGCCTTGCGCATTCGACCACTCCGTCTTAACCCGCTCGTATCTTCGCCTTCCTCGGATTCTTCACCCGCGGCTCTGAGGCGCTTGTTTCCAAGCCTACTCCTCGCGCAATCGTCGAGTGTTTCCGATGTGCTCGCTGCGGGTCGCTTTCGTCCCCGGATACGCGCCTCCTCGTCGCGCCCCAGGAAGCGGTGGATAAGGCGGTGGTCCAAGATGCGCTGCTCCTTATCTTGAGGCCCGGCCCTCTCAGTCTTCGGCCAAATGTAACCGTAGAGCTTGGAGTGGCGTTCGCAGCGCGGGCACGAACTCTTGGTGTAGTACGCATTTTGCTGCACAAATGCTGTCTCGCAATTCATGCAGCGAACCCATGCCGTCTGCGGCTCTGATAGCAACAGCGGCGTTAGAGTATAGTCGCCGGGCGTTCGGGTCTTTGCGGGTGGTGTGGTCTCCTTGATAAAGGTGCGCCGCTGATACTTGCGCTTCTTCAGAGGTGGCTGGTCACCACCGCTCTCCACCGTCTCAGCAACCTTTGCACAGACTTTGATACTGTCAGTGATCGGCGCAGGATTTTCTGTCGATACCGGTGCTTCGACCTTTGCAGTCAGCACGGTGACGGAGCTGCGATTGCCCAACTCGTCTTGCTCTATTGACGCAAGAGCCTCAACCTTTGACGTTTTCACCACGGCCTCACGACGAGAGCTTCCGAGCGACTCTTTTGTTGAGAGGGATTTAGCAACGTTTTGTGTCAGCTTCAAACTGCTCGTGCTAGAGCCTTTTGATGCGCCTGTTGATGACATTGCCACTGACTTCGTGCTCACGCTGCTGCACATAGCAGCTGCGATACTCATACGATCCTGGATCTTGTACAAAGGGACGCTCGCCGGGTATAGCCATTCTGGAGGGTTTGAACCCGAGGTTTTAGAAGGCGGTGACGGAGGATTGCACAAGGACGAGATGGGGATTGACCGGGAGACAACAACAGATCCAGCTCGACTGGTGTCTGGCATTTCCTTTTGGCCCCTTCTTTGCGACGAGTATGGCGCCGCCTTAGCCAGTGCTTGCTCCGTGGTCTCCTCATACTCCTCTTTCTTGACAAGCTCCGAATGCTTCTGACGTTGGCCCGGTTCCGGGGAGTCTTTCTCCGGCTCAGTAATGTCCGTCACCGACCCGTCTTCGTTTCCGCTACTGGTCAATGACATGCTGCGCACAGACTCGGAGGCCGAGCTCTCTGTTGACGTGACAATAGCTTCCTGACGGGCTTTGGCTGCTTGCGTAGCCGAGATTTTTCGTCTTTTGGATGGCGTGATGGGCGGTGTGACGAGTGAATCGAAAGACTGCCTCTTTTCTGGTGAAAGAGCATCTGACATTGGTGAGTCGACTGCTAGAGAATCTCGGCCAGATTTCCCGCTCCTGAGCCGTGATTTAGACACTCGTGGCCGGATGTCTGGCGTGACAGAAGGTGTTCGAGACGACGGGCCGGCGCTATCGTCCCTTCTCCTCCGCCGCAAAGAGTATCCGTCCAAAGCGGACTCCTCGATGCTTTTCTTAACCACAACTTCTCCTTCTGCCGGTGCCCAACCGTTTGCACATCTGTCTTCGCATGTTCTGCATAGACATTCGCAGTTGTCCTCCCCGAAGTAGTTCTCGGCATATGTAACGGTAATCTCTTCGCCAACATCGATGTTCCTCGTCGCAATGATCTCAATCGTGGCTGAAGACGTAGTCATGAGCTTCGCATTGGCTCTGCAGTCGTGGTTCGCAAATCGGGCAGGGCCCATGAACAGGCTGGCGCATTTGTTCCTGGCGGAAATAATGATGCTAAAGTCCTTCTTCCGGGCCGTCATTTCTCGCTCCTCCTCGGGTGAAATGTTGACCTGCGTTCCGGCCAAGTACTTGATCGTCTCGTTTCGCCGTATAAAGCGTCGGGCAGTGATGGCGGCTTCGTGCGAAACAATCGTGTAGCGGTTCGTCGAGTTCACCTCAAATGGGCAGTCGGGAAGGTAAATCTGGACATAGCGGCGCATATGACGCTTGAAGTCATCCTTGGATTTGTCCGTCTTGAGGGCGGCGAAGAACTTGCGGAAGCCATCGGTAGCTAGCAACTTGCTCTCGGCGGATTCGAGGTCTTTGCTGACAGCGAGCTCGTCGCGGATGATTTGGGTAATGTCCTCCTCCCGCACACCTCGCGAAGGATGATAGGAGTTTCTGTTCTTGGGAATCGTAGTCCAGTAGAAAACCTGCAAAGTGTCAGCTTCTTCAGCCCCCAAATGTCCGAGGCATGGCTGCCCGGCGGAACCGAAACCCATACATGATCGACTAGAGCATCAGTCAGGAAATCATCGTACGATGCCAGTTGCGCCAATGTCAGCGTCTGCTTATTCTTCTGCTTCTTTGCCGCAGCAGCAGAGGGCGGCATCGTGAGATACGGATGAGCGTTGACGGCGTCGCAGTTGTCGTCGGCGGCGCAAGTTGGAAGGAGCGAGCCCGAGGCGAGGTCGGGGAAGGCTAAACGAGCGTCGAGGGACCAGCGTCAGCGCACAGAGCAAGGAGTGGACGAAGGACCAAATGTGAGGTCGGGCTCCCTTCGACAGCCCAAGGTCAAGCGCAGCAAATGATGTGGGGGAGTGACAGCTGGGCCACGATTGTCGCAAGTCGGCCGCTAAGGATAGGGACCAGAAACAGATGTGGGTGAGACCGGGAAGAAGGTTGTTGTGTCCAAAAAGGCGCAAAAAGATGAGAGAAGGGTCAGCTCAGGCGGGTGTCGTCATGTCTTCCGGTCCAAAGTCCAAAGGGGGCATAAACAAGCCAACGAGGACAGGCTGGTCAGGGCAGGCGGGTGGTTGTGGAGATTAATGCGCAGGGCCGTCGTGGATCATACTCGGTACGGTAGGATCTGAGAGAAGAACAAACAAGAGGTGGACCCTCCTGTCGATGAATGCTAAAGGAATGAATGTAGGAATCAAAATAGCTTCATCCACAAGTACCGGAAGGGAGGCTCTGTGGGTAACAAAGACGTCGGACAACGGACGATGGAGCGGATAAAGAGATGAGAATGAGGAGGGAAATGAGACAAATAAGTGGATGTGGTTAGGTTGAGGTGAGAGGTGGGATGTGGGATGTAGTGAGGTGAGGTGTGTGTGTGTGTGTGAGGCTGGACGTCAAGAGACCTGAACTCAAGATGAGCAGGAAACAGCAATGGAAGTCGCCGTCTTGTCCCAATTTTAATTCGCTCTTGCCGGGTGGAAAGTTGGTTGCTTCAGGTAGTTCCTTCCCTCTCTTACTCTCCTGCACAAACTCAGTCTCAATTCGTTCGGATCCGACTCAGAGCACTCCGTACTTTCGGAAGGTATTGACAGCAAGTCTCAATGGAACAAATTCCAGATTCCAGGTTCCTTCCTTCCTTTCCAGCTTTCCAGGGGAGCAGACAGACCAGCAAGACAGAGACGCAGGACGGGAAAGAGGGAGGGAAGCAAGAAAGGCAGGGAAACATTGGATTGCGCCTTACCGGGGGGTTTGATGGCCAATCAAAAGTTACAAAACTCAGTGGCTAGGCAATTATCGCTGAAGTGGCCCCAAGTGAGCACTGAGACGTCAAAATAGTCGCACAGACCAAGTTTTGACCGGCTACGTCAGCCAATGAGATGCGCTCATACATATGTAGCTAACCTCTTTTGGCTGGCAGAGGCCTGCCCGCAGCAACGGGACAACATGCAGCTGTTGAAGTGGGTCTTGAGCTCCACTTCACTGGTCCACGATTCTGGGCTACCGGATCTACATCAGCCCGTTGCTCCGACGTGGAATTCAACTTTGCAGTCCCACCTTTTCGAGATAGCTTCATAGAGCCAGTGGCCAGCCAGGGGAGATTCGATATACCACAGCCTACCACGAGGTCCCGCCGCGAAAATGATTCAATTAAAGGTATGCCATCTTCTTTGATTCGCGAACATTGAACCAGCACGCTAACGCGCACTCAGACGGTGCTGCAATGCATCGACAACTCAGGTGCTGCCATGGTCGAATGCGCCATGGTTGTCGGCCAGAAGAAGCTCGCCCGCATCGGTACGATCCTGTCGCCCACTTCCGAACCCCCCTCACCTCACACGATTCGATACCGAGACTAACACATATACAATCGCAGGTGACAGAATCGTCGTCGTGGTTCAGAAGCACAGAGGTGCCAGCGAGGGTGGCATGGCCGGCTCATCAGCCGCCAACAAGGTCAAGCGCGGTGACATGCGCCATGCCGTCGTTGTCCGCACCAAGCAAAAGACTCTCCGCCCCGACGGTAGCGTAATTCGATTCGACGACAACGCCTGCGTTCTCATCAACAAGGCCGGCGACCCCGTTGGCTCTCGCATCAACGGCGTCGTTGGTGCTGAGCTGAGGAGGAAGAAGTGGAGCAAGATCCTTTCCATGGCGCCCATGCACGCATAAAGGAAACGGCGATGGGACGAGGG